GATGCTGCAGCTCACTGAGAAAAAGCATTGTTAATATCAACTACAAAAAATAGTAAAACATCTTGTCATAGCTCTCTTGTTATAATATTGCTATATGTTTAATTTTAGCATTGTTAGTATTGACAATATAAGTTGTCAACCATTTTTTTTACAGCAGAGTTAGACAAAATTACCACTGCAAAACTTTAAAAGCTACACTAATCACCATTTTATATAAACACGGCATCAGATGACAAAATTTAATTTAAAGAGTGTTTAAAAAATCAAACTCTGCATTTCTTCATGTGGGTTTTTTTTCTTCTTTATTTTGGTCAGTGGTTCCTAAAGTGAGGGTCACGGTGTCTTGGGTTGGGGTCATATAAATTTAAAGGCAATTAGTTGTAGCATGATTAGCCATAATTGCTCCAAAAAGATTTTTTTTTTAAAATAGACAAATGCTGCTCATATGTTCCCAGGACTACATTTTACACATGAATTACTTTGTCTGATGTTTGTCTGAAAGATTCTCAAACTTGGTAGATGATCAGGTTTATACCTACGTGGCTGCGTAGGGTTGGTATATTAACCATCAAATCTACAATTAGAACTTGTTAATGATAACGTCACTGTCATGCTTAAAGCTTGTTGCAGCTAAAGAATGACAGAGGTGTTTTCAACCACATCGATGTCACGCATTTTGGGCCCGTTGTGTCACTGTTGTTGCATTGTTGCAGTGATTAAAACAGCAATTCATTGTGGTTTATTGTCATCAGAGCACCTGGGTGTCAGAGTTTAAAGCAGAGAAGAGATTTCCTTTTTTTATTACAGTCAATAAGTCTGTACAGATTCTCAGTCATCCACGTCTTGGTAATCCTATGAGCCTCAATAAAAACCAACTGGACTTCTCATACCTTACTTCTGTCACCTAAAAGAGATCCATTTGCTTTTTAGTGAAGCTCCTAGGTTTACAGTATATTTGTTGCTTTATATAAGTGAGTTGCTTATTGTTTGAGTTTTCTTTTCGATGAATACCTATTCATAAAAAGGTGAAGTAACCAATTTAATTAGCGATGAAAAATTGTATTTCATCAATGTTTTGGACACTTGGCAGATTTGTGGTACAGCAGATTCTTTTGACATCGTACTAGAGTCCCTGTATTACCTGAATTACCTTGTGGCACTACAGCCTGTATGTGAGATGATGCCCACATTTCAAACTCCAAGAGCTAATGACAAAAAATATTTTTCAAGTCGAGCTTTTTTCTCAAGCACGCAAAAGTGTAGATTGTTGTGTGGGCCTCGTGTTCCTTGTTCACACAGCTGAAGTACTGACATTAGTACACCTGAATATCCCAAGGACGCTCATCTAATGACACGATATGAGTAGAGCTGCTGAATGGAAAGCGCTTTGCAATGGCAGCGCAAATCATCATGTGTCCTCGCCGTTCGGTGGAATGAAAGAAACACGCAGAATGTTGCAGGAATGATGTGTTGAATAGAGTGCACTGAAGCATTCATCAATAGGGTGTGAAGGCCAAGTATTAGTCAACCGTCACACTGTTAACAACCTGACAGTGGTGTGAAGACTTCACACTGTGTCCTGTGGCACTTTCTGAGGTGTTCACCTTTGGTATGCAGGTTAGTTGATCTGTAGCTGTGCAAAAATCTTGATTTCTCATGTACAGGTTTCCTTCTGGTGGTTTAAAGGCTGTGAATAGGTGTGAAGCTTGTCTCTGTTGTCTCCTGCTGACTTGTGGCAGGGGTCTTATCCTTTTCCAGTGTGTGAAAAGAGCGGAACAATTATGAGTTTCCACCTGATTGTCTGTCTAACTTTTGCCCCCAAAACATATTGTTGCGTGTTGAGCGACTTTCTTCTGTGAACATGTGGAAGCTGTGAAGTTGTGCTGGACTTGTGTTCAAAAAGCAAACAAAGATTAAAACCTCCAAAGAAGCACCTAAAGATTATTGTTGAAGCATGTAATGCAGTTCAAAGATTGATTTTAAAGGTATTTAAGTGCATGTATAGGCTTTTTTTTTTTTTTTTTGCACCTGCTACAGTCGTATGAAACCTCACATATCTCTGTGTGAACAGTTCAGCAGGGTCTGGTCTACAGAGTCTGCACCGAAGACGGTAAATGGGCCAAAAAGAACACCAGCGAATGTGAGGACGACCCTGGTGAGGTGTGTGTGCATTCAGTACAGTGGGTTTGTGTGCGATTATCTGTGTATGAAACTGAGTGTGCGTGACTGCCTGCTCTTGTCAACCGACTCTCGCCACGTTCGAAGCTGCTCGGAGCGACAGATGGTTGGGTAACACTGCGACTCAAAACTTTAACTTGACGCATTCGGAAATAACTCTGCATGTGAAAATCCATTTTTACACTTTAGGATGTTTTTTTTTTTAATGTCATCTGCGCCAAATATAATCCACAGTGTCTGCTCGTGTTTGTGTTGCCAGGAAGTAAAGCACTCTGTCTGTCTGTGTGTTGGCTCTGCAGCAGCAGTACGGCCGCGTCCTCAGTCAGCTGCGGATCATGTATACGGTGGGCTACTCTCTCTCACTGGGAGCTCTGCTACTGGCTCTGGGAATCCTCATCACCTTCAGGTAGAACATGGAACAAGGGGTTGGGAAGATGGTGGGAGGAGGGGGAGGAAAAAGAGGTCGAAGAATGAAAAGCAAAAAGGAAAGAATTCAATAATCAATAAAGCTACGGAGAAAGGAAGCTAGAGGAGGGGGAGCAAGAAAAGAGGTGAGAAAGGTAACGATTAACAGACATAAAGAAGGAAGAAGGAAAAATAAAGCAGTGTGACGAAGGAGCAAAAAAAGGGAAACCTCAAGCAGGGTAAAGCTCAATGAATAAATGAAGGGAGAAGAATAATTAAGAAAAAAAAATAGGGGAAGGAATGTAGAAATAAAGACAGCATGGCAGAAAGAGGGAGGAGGTGAGATGACAAAATAATAAAATAAAAGGGGGGAAGTAAAAGTTTAAAATGATAGAAAAGGTGCAAAAATACTGAAAAAGGAATCGAAGAAAGCAGAAAATGAGGTAAGAAGAAAGCATAAAGAGAGAACACGAACTAAAAATGAAGGAAAGAGAGATGGATGAAGTCAAATAGACAAGAATGAATTAGAGAAAAAAAAGCCAAGCCCATGAGTAGAAAGGAAAACTAAATAATGCAAGGAATCAAAGAAAGGTAGAAAAAAAATCTTTTGTTGCTGCGTGCGGATTGATTGTGAATATGACATATATAAGTAAAAACACATCCCTCGCTGCCATCTCTGCATTAGGAAACTCCACTGCATGAGGAACAACATCCACATGAACCTGTTTGCCTCCTTCATCCTGAGAGCTGTGTCCATCCTGGTTAAAGACGCCCTGCTGACCCTCACTCTGGATCCCAGGAGCAGCAGTGACGCCCAGACACAAGCCTGGGTCAGCATACCGGTCAGAACACAAAGCACGTTAAAGTCAGTGGTTATGTTTAGCTTTCTTCGGATGACAGTAATGCATTTGAAGGGATATGATCACTTATTCGATAATAAAAATGCAGAAATGACTATAAGAGGAGACACAAACTTCAGCTTCTGAAATGTGAAACACAAATACAGAAATCACTCCACACTTCTTCTCATTTATGATATTCAACAGCATAACTCCCACTGCAATATTCTGGACAAACACTCAGTTCCCTGTAAAAATTCTACACTGCTCACACAGGATTTCTAGCTTAATACAGTACTGATAAGGTATTGATTAGCTGTGTCTAGACACACCATACCTGTGGTCAAAAAAAGGAACTTTTCTACCTACTAGTGTTTAGTGTGCCCTCTCTTCTCTCCACATAAGTGAAGATGCTGCTTTTGGTGTCATTCCCGAAAGTAAATCTCATGAATGAGAATAGTTGTATTCAAAATTGACATTCTGTTATTGTATCAAGAGTTCATACAGATAAATGTAATGTCACCAGGATGAATCAGGTCTTCTTGCTCCTCTCTTGCTAAGCTCCACTGGAGGACTATTTCATTTAAAATGAAACAAATGGCATTGAATCTGCATTAATCCACATTAAGAATAAGCAATGAGAAATTAAAAATGCACTATAAATGTGAGCAGGAAGTGTTTATGGATGCCAGAACCAACTATTTCATCTGCATTACAGAGTGCATTGCTGCACTCTGCTCAGGTTGATATTTACAACATGTGTACTATGAGAGTCCAAGACACTTTGGTTTGTTGTTTGTGACCTCGTGCACCACCTTTGTCTTGTGTCATGTGTCAGGCTGTGACGTGGTGTCGCGGTGCCATGGTGATGATGCAGTACAGCGTAATGGCCAACAACTATTGGCTGCTGGTGGAAGGCATCTACCTGCACAGCCTCCTGGTCATCACCGTGTTCAGCGAGAAGAAGTACTTCTACATTTACCTCGCCATTGGCTGGGGTAAGAACTGAAACTATCCACAGAGACTCACAGTCACATAGTAATCCCAGTGTGGTTACTGGAGAAACATACTGAGTTGTACTTTTGCTGTTTCCTGACAAACAAACATTGGTGTGTTGAGAATAGTAGACAGTGTACTTGGACCTTCAGGTAGTCTTCAGGTGTTGTTAACAGCCTCCGTCACACAGTAGACATCAACGACAAGAAGTCAGTCAGGAACAGAAACGGTTAACAGGAATGTAAATAGACTTATGAGCAAATACGCACAGATGACTGTTCTCAGGGTGAATCAGGTGATTTATATCCTCTGAAGGCATCTAATGGGCAGGTATGGAATGACAAAATTTGAACTGACAAGCTCTACATAAAAGATGAATGTAGCAACCCCAACATCGTCCATTGGTTTGTAAGTACTGTTTTGAAGCATAGACATTGGACTTCAGCCTTCTCCATCTTGGTCTTTTGAAACTAAGAACTCTAAAACACTACAGGTGGCCACGATATAGCGACTTGTCAATCACAAGGTAGCTCCTCATTAAAAGAATACTCTGCTTTATTGTCTATTTTACAGTAAACGGGACCATAAATTACAAAATTAACATCATGCTGTGTAGAAGAAGACTTCAAACTAGCAATTGATACTATAAATTCGTTAGTAAAATGTTGACTGATATGAGAAATAAAATGAGAAGTGGTGCATAGGCTTCTGTGCAATCTGATTTCTCTATCCACTGTCCTGACAGACAAACATTGGTCAATGTGTTGAAAATAGAAAACACTGTACTTTGACCTTCAAGTAGTCTTCAAGTAGTCACACAGTAGACATCAACAACAAGAAGTCAGTCAGGAGTAGAAACATTTACCAGAATGTAACTCCTGTAGACTCCTGAACAAACACACACAGATGACTGTTCTCAGGGTGAATCAGGTGATTCATATTCTCTGAAGGCATCTAGTGGCCAGGTATGGAATGACAACAACAGTGAGGAGCTTAGACTTCGATACAAATGATGAATGTAGTGTCCCTAACATCACCTATTGGTTTGTAGAGAACTGTTTTGAAACCTGGGTTTTGAAATTTAGCCTTCTCCATCTTGGTCTTATGAGACTAAAAACCTAAAAACACTATGCGTGGCCACAAGGTAGCGACTTGTAATCAAAAGGTAGCCTCGCACCCCCACAAGTATACCCTTCTTTATCGTCTATTTTACTGTAAATTACGGCATAATTTACTAAATGAATATCATGCTTTGTAGAAGAAGACTTTAAACTAGCAGTTTAGACCATAAACTCATTAATAAAATGTTCCCCAAATTAATAAATCAAGTGAGAAATAAGGTCATTTTCTCATAGACTTCTATACAGTCAGACTTCAATCAGAGGAGCTGCCCCCTGCTGGCCGTTAGAGAAAATGCTGATTTAAGTCACTTCTCTTTTCCAATCTGGATGCTCTATTCATCTTTTACATGTAGTCTATGATGAGGAGATAAGCAGGATTATGTTTAGAGAAACAATGAGAGGCAGAAAAGAAGATATTAAATAGGCACTTTTAGGAAAAAATGTATTAGTAAATCATCTACAAAAGTTGCCAAATGTTTAGCACACAGCATGCTGAGCGATTGGTCATCGTAATTCCCTGAAAACGGTAAGAAATTTGGTGCCAGTTCAGTTTGTTCTGTGCAGCAGATTGACAAAATTTGAAAAAGCTTTTAAATTTTTTGATTCTTGAGAACATTTTCCTACTTTTAAAGGGCTATTTGTGATGCATGCTGCAAGAAAAACATATGTGATAGAATATGTGGAAATTATGTCTCTGGAAACACAAAAGGCTTCATACATTTTATTTTTTGTCTGCATGTACCCTTGTACTCCCTGAGGCTTGCAGAGAGTAAAAACTGTAAGGTATCTAATTCATAACTATAAGGCACTGAAAGAAAAGGCTTTGCTTGAAATGACTGTAAACATGTAGTATTTGTTATATATTATATAAACCTCAAAAATATCTCTAATTATAGTGATAATAAGTAAGACTCATTAACAGCTGTGGTTAGTTTGGTCACATGTGTTGTCTACAGATCACAACCGTTTTTCATCTTTCAATAAGTGCAGATTTATCAAGTTTTCAGTCTGCTATTCTGAGATAACAAAGTAATTGTAGAATTATCTCAAGATTGTTTTTCACGATTACGAAAATCCTCAACGAGTGAAAGAACTGCTCATGGCCGTGTCACATTAACAAGTGGATCGCCCAACTGATGTTAGTGAGTCCCTGTAGCCTGACGGGGCTGATAATGTTCAAAGACAAGACCATGAGCAGATAAGACTTTACTTTATTCAAGCTCAGACAAAGGCAAATATGGGCCTAACATTTTCAGATTTAGAGACCTTTCAAGTCTTTAATGGGTAAAATGAGAACAGAAATATTTGACTTGAGATAAGCAGGTTTTCACCCTTCTGGTAATAAGAAAAGTGTTTAATGCTGTGTCAGGAATATTGATGTATTAAAGTAATGTATGTGTACTAATGATGGAGTTTTGCAGTCAGTTTTGTACAAGAAACACATTGATAATCTGTGACCTCTTTCATTCTCAGGTGCACCGCTCATATTCGTGTCACCATGGATCACAGTGAAATATCTGTATGAGAACGAAGAGTAAGTTTAAACAACTTCACAAAGTTCTCACATGAAATGAAAGACACTTTAAATGTTACAGTCTTAATCTGTGACCTGTAAGCAGACAGATGACCAGAGGTTTTCCTTTTGACTTCTTTAATTATACTGCAGCGTGTTAGTATGCTTTGCCTCTTTGTGCAGAATCCCAGTGACAGCATCAGCATGTTAGAGTGTAACTTCTATTTGTGTGTCCAGGTGCTGGGAGAGGAACATCAACATGGGATACTGGTGGATCATCCGTTCTCCTATACTGTTTGCTTATCTGGTAAGACTGTTTGCATCTGTCTGTTTCTCTTTTGCACCTGTTTTTTAAAAAATGTTATTATTATTATTTTTAGCTTGGGCAGTTTACATTTGGGGGCTGCAAGGTGTCTCAGTGGTTAGCACCATCACCTCGGAGCAAGAAGGTCGCCGGTTTGCGTCCCGGTGAGGACACCCAGGATCTTTCTGCGTGGAGTTTGCATGTTCTCTCCGTGCAGCGTGGGTTCTCTCCAGGTTCTCCGGCTTCCTCCCACACAGTCCAAAAACATGTTGAAGTTAATTGGTGATTCTAAATTGTCCATAGGTGTGAATGTGAGTGTGCTTGGTTGTCTGTCTCTAAGTGTAGCCCTGTGATAGACTGGTGACCTGTCCAGGGTGTCCCCTGCCTTCACCCTAAATCAGCTGGGATAGACTCCAGCCCCCCATGACCCTAGTGAGGATTAAGTGGTGTATAGATAATGGATGGAGGGAGTTTACATTTAAACAATAGGACAAAAGACATTTGAGTCCAACATTCGCAAACCGGCAAATGTTGCCGTGAGTGGTTTGAAAGGCATGTTGTGTCTAAAATAAAATCCTCAAAACAGAAAAAAATGACAGGATTTTTAGCTTCCTGATGGTACTCGAACTACTTACAGCTCATTTTCTCCTGGAAAAGTAATCAAATCTGAGCTTAAAATTGTCATATTTCATCAAAATCACTGTATTTTACATGTCTCATTTGAAATTTGCCCAAAATTAACCATTTTTGATAATCAAATTCTGATTCTGTGAAAACAAACAAACAAACAAAAAAACACAACAACAAAATCACTGGCTTAGCTGTGACCAACAGTCATAATTTTATTTTTCATTGAACCAGGCTGAGCTGCAGGCTCTGTTTAGACAGAGCAGATAAGATAAGAGACAAGTATGGAAACACATTAAACATACAAGCAATAAAATATCTATAGAACGTAGACCCATCGTTTTCCTCCCATTACTGATAACACCTGCAGACTCTTGGGAGACATGCTGATTGATGGTTTCTATCATTTTAGTTTCCATAGACATTCGGGATTTTATATTGCAATGAAAAAAGGAGCCTGCAGTGATTAAAAGTGTGACAGGAGCTAAAAGGCTGAGAAACTGCATCAGATTTGGAGGGTGAAAAGGTACCAAATGCTTGTGTTTGGGTGCATCCATCCTGTTTTTGAAAGTGTTTAGATCAGACAGTGGGACTTGTGGAAAACATAGAATCTACCTAGAATAAAAATCTCTTGGTGTTATCTATCTTTTTTTTTAATTTTTTTTTTACAATTTCCTAAATTAGCACATTAGTAGTATTATGAACTCACCTCCCACAGACTGACAGAACGCTGTGTAGTCAAGTGCAGCTCGAGTTATACCTGTGACGTCAGCCAAGCTTTCTAGTACTGCTAAGATTAAAATGCACAACCTATGGCCCCTCATAAGTCCCAGTGTCTAAGGTTTGACCTTGGTAAACATATATACAGAAATAAAACTTGTATATTATTATGTATTCTTAAGTTAGTTCCTTCATTTAGCCCTGGATGTTCAGTTTGAAATTCCACAAAGTGTCTCTTTACCCAATGCAATCATCACTCAAGTGTTATTGAAACAAGCCCGTTTTTACCACACAAATTAAATTTTGTTTGGAGGTTACACAGCTCTACACCTGGTGATAAGTGTAGCTACAAACCTGCTGTTCAGTCCTAAAATTCTGTTATTAATCAATTATGATAAGTCTGTCAAAAAGCAGCTCTGTGATGAGCGGTTGCTGACTGGCTGAGGGTCTGTGAGGACATGATGGAGAGAGCAGGCAGGTGTGTATGAGAGCAGCCTCTGTCTTTCTAACTTGAGTCAGTAACTCAACATCACAAGAAAACTGCAATGACAAGAAAAAAATCTGAAATCGCTGAGATTTGTTCTGCAACTGCTTGTTGGTGTTCAGGAAAATAAAAACACTTGTATAGATAAAGCTCATTGTGGTATGAATCAAATTTTGACCTCAAGAAACTGAAATCCATCCATTATCTATGCACCGCTTAATCCTCACTAGGGTCATGGGGGGCTGGAGTCTATCCCAGCTGACTTAGGGTGAAGGCAGGGGACACCCTGGACAGGTCACCAGTCTATCGCAGGGCTACACTTAGAGACAGACAACCAAGCACACTCACATTCACACCTACGGACAATTTAGAATCACCAATTAACCTCAACATGTTTTTGGACTGTGTGGGAGGAAGGAACTCGGAGAGAACCCACGCTGCACGGGGAGAACATGCAAACTCCACGCAGAAAGATTCTGGGTGTCCTCACCGGGACGAGAACTGGCGACCTTCTAGCTGCAAGGCAACGGAAACTGAAAACTAATTTTTTTTTTAAATTCCAAGCTTCAACTGAAAGAATCTTTTCCTATAGTGTGTGATGCCCCTCCCGAGAAGTTTTTAACTGAATTTAATATTTTATTTTTTTAACAATTTACTATTGTTATACTTTTTTTTCTGTTTTAGTGAATTACAGGAAGATAACTAGTAATGTCACAGAAAATTATGTATTCATTTACATGTTAAATGTAAAAAAAAAAAAAACAGGCCAAAACTGTAGATAATGTTCACTTTAAAAATCTGTATTTTTACTAATATTAATTACACCTTTTAGATTTGACTGTAAAATCACATAAATTGCTACTGTATTGAAATCAGCAAATAAAAATAAAAAAACATGATTATTTTGCAGATATTTACTAAAAAAAAAAAATGGATGCATGTTAGAGATTGAAGAAAGTCAATTGTTTTTAACTGTTATTTTACAGGTTGTTTTGTTAAATTACAGATAATATCTAGCAAAATCTCAGGAAGAATAATATATTCGCATCTTGACCATAAAAAAAAAACAAAACAAAAACAACAGCAACAAAAATCTGTAAATAATGTCCATGTAAAAAAAAACAAAAAAAAAAAACAATAATTCTTTTAATGTGTGATGGTGAAGTTATACTGTTTTACTGTATTTAAATCAGATTATAAAGATATTATTTTACAGATATTTTCTTGTATTTTCTATTTAATATTAAGAATAAATAAATAAAAAAAAATAGTGTGATTTATTTTCTTTTAATTTTTGTGCACAATGCACACAATTTTCTAGCACATGAGGGTCATCAGTTAATGCAGGTCACCTCGGCCTTCCAGGCTATAAAAGCTGTGTGTTCACTCTGCCTCTTCCATTTACCCGGCACCTGCCTTTTGTGTTTAACACATCCACGGCACGCACATTACACATCCATTCACTACTCTCATTGCTGATGTTGTTCACTTCCACACTCTATTGTTAGCTTGTGTTAGTTTAGTTTTAATATATTTTATTCGACTTGAGTAAATTTCAAGTGTAGACTCCATGTTTGTCATATTCTTTAAGACAGTTTTTGACAAGTCTGATTGGTTTTTCTTGCACATAAATGTAAACTCCCACCCACTGAACAACACACACACACACACACACGACAATTCCTCTTGTGTGTTTCCTGCCTCTTGTTCCCATAGAGACAAACAACATTATGGATGGACACACTTATGAGCACAATTGCTTATTAACAGTCGTCACCTTTGTGACCTCATGCAGAAGTCTACGTGTACACACACACACACACACACACACACACACACACACTGTGCAACATTCAGTAATATCCGCTTATTTCCTGGATGTTGTAATACAGTCATACAGTGCTGTGTTATGTGAAAACACTGCGTTGTATTGTAATCGCTGAAATCGCAGAGCAGTTGTGTAACAGATGAAAAAAAAAAAAAAGTCACAAGTCAACAACAGAATCCTGCAGCTCTGCAACTGTTGTTCTCACACGTACCACACACACACACATTCACACCAAAAGCAACCTCAAACACACACATTTACCCAAACACATCTTTCAATACACGCTTTACCAAACTTGGAGCTCCAATAACCTGAGTGCTGCAATAATGGATGTCCTCTGTCATCGGAGAGGGTCCTGCACTAGATCACAGTTTGAGTGTGTGCTCTGTGTTGTGTTACTCATGTTGTGGGGACATAAATCTCTTTAACTGTCACTTTGAGGGAACCCACATCCCTTTTGGGGAAACACAGCAAATCCCCATACCATGAATTGTTAAAATTTATAATGACGGCTTGGTTTAAGGTTAGGTTAAGGGTTGCTGCTGTTGTAGTTGGTGTAAGGGGTTGTGATAAGTTTATGGGAAAAGCATGGAAGTAATGTCCTCTGTAGTGATGGAAACACAACTGTGCATGTGTGGCCCCACTTCAACTCCCAGAGACCACAGACCAAGACTGGAGAGTTACAAAACAGTGCAGTTTTGGACGTTTAAGGGAATTTTTTTTAACACGATAGACAAATGTTTCACATGTTTTGCTTCCAAGTAACTCCCTTTTTCTTCTTTATTTCAGATCAACTTCTTCATTTTCATCCGAATTATCAAAATCCTGATGTCTAAACTTAGAGCTCACCAGATGAGATACACTGATTATAAGTTCAGGTGAGAAAGGCAAACAAATGGAAGATGTAAGGGAGTATTTGTGCAGAGTTTGCATTGTGGGTTTGAGGTGTTTTTTGTTGTTGTTGTTGTTGTTTTTTGCTGAAAATGACACTGATTAAAATGACAAGGAAACCAAAACAGAAACACTGAAAAATCAAAGCCCGATTCTGCAGAGATAATTCTTTTTGGATTCTTATTTTTAAAAGAAACTGCACTTTAAAAATGTTAGAAATGACCATTTTCCACCCTACATTACATTTAATAATATATTTTTCACCTGCTATGTGTTTGTAACATAATTTAAAAGCACATTATAAGTCTTGATTGGTCAGTATGTGTTGGATCAAAAACTCTGCAGACTTGTGTTTTCCTCGTAACTGGATATAGCAAGTTTTGGTTGAACCTTTCTGGTGTCTTTTAATCTTTACAACTCTTCCCTGCTTCCCCTTTTTCTTCCTCCGTTCCAGACTAGCAAAGTCCACTCTGACTCTCATCCCCCTGCTTGGGATTCACGCCATCCTCTTCACCTTCGTCATCGATGAGTCCGTCCCTAAAGGCTCCATGTTGCGCCTCATTCGCCTCTTCTGCGATCTGCTGTTCAACTCCTTCCAGGTTCAAGCTCAACTCTGCATGAAACTCTCATATATATATACATTTTGTCCACAAATATTTTAAAAAGTACACGTTTTTCTGCATTTCCTCTCAATGTGGTTTTTCTATTTTCTGAGGCATGCAAGTTGATAACTGAGCCAGTTGTTCATGGTTTTCATTGTCACGGTCAGTTTTCTCTCCAGAGATCTAATAAAACAAGTGGTTGCACACATTTATTTTAATTTATAGCATTTATAAAGCACATAACATTATCTTTTGGTGAATCTATGGTAAGTATTTTTATATGAACTCAGCTAATAAGGAACTAAAATGCCAGCCTGAAGTAAACCCCATTCACAAATGGACTAATACAAATAATAGACTAATTGTATTTGTCTGTAAACAGGACTTCAGGAGACCAAAACTAACAATAAATTTATCCTACTAGGTGCGACCAAGTGCGTGTAGCCACAACTCCAGAACTATTATACACCAAATGAATAGATGATTACTTTATTGTGATGGACAGTGTTGTATTCTGAAGTAAATCAAACGTTGTATAAACCTGACAACTTGCTGTGCCACCAACTCATACAGATTTATTTTAGTGTTTGACACTCAGGACAGAGCATAAACCTCAACTGTGTAAATATATTCAGCCACACACTGAACAACGGTGGTGAGCCAGTAGAGTCTGCAGCTCTGGAAACTGGTCAGGTCTTCTTTTACAAAAATGAGCATGAACTGTAACCTGAAACTTGCACTGAAAAACCAACAGTGTAGGACAATAAGAAAGAGTTTTGGTGAGACATCTCAGTTGTCCAGTGTGGACTCTCATCACAAACCACTGGCTTGCAAGTCTTCCTCTGTTGCTTATTTGGTTTTGTATGTCTACTGCGGGTAGTCTGACTCGCCAAAGCTATAATGCCTGGTTTCCACATAACTCTGAGCATGTATACAACCTAACATGAACATGCAGCACAAGTCCTGGTACAGGCTGTCATAACATCACGCATTGCATACTGCAACTCCTGACTGGCATGCCTCCCCGCATCCACGGTCAAACCTCTCCAGATGATCCAGAACTCAGCAGCAAGTCTGGTTTTCAACCAGCCAAAAGCAGCACATGTCACCCCGCTGTTCAGATCGCTTCACTGGCTTCCAGTTGCTGCCCACATCAGATTCACAACTCTGAGACTTTCCCACAAAACTACAATGAGAACAGCTCCCTCCGACTTGAACTCTCTCATTCAGGTCTACACTCCCTCCAGCCAAACAAAAGCCGCCTGATACAACCACCACAACAGGGCCCGAGGTCGATAGCTAGACTCTTCTCCTCTGTGGTTTCCTGGTGGTGGAACGAGTTACCAAACTCTGTTCAATCTGCTGATTCCTTCTCAGTCTTTAAGAAAAGGATAAAGGCCCAGCTCTTCACTGAACACCTTTGCACTTGACAGACTGAAAAAAAAAATAAAACAAAATCCTATTACCTCACATACAGCCTGCTATTGGCATCAATGTCCTATCACACTTTAACTTGTTCAATGGGACTTATCCAGGTTGTTTTCTCCTGACTAGATCCTTGCTCGTGTTGTATTAACTCTCAGATGTATGTCAGTTTGGATAAAAGCATCTGCAAAATGAAACTGTAGAATTGTAGTAACCTGAAGTCCATTAATTCCTAGGAGAGCCTCCATGACCTCTGACTTGTTTGCGAAACTCCCCCTTTCGTTCATTTTTTTCTGGTCCAGAATTTGCTTCGAGTATGTTAAAAATATGAACTTGAACTATGGAGAGACCAGACTGTGCCAGGGCGATGGGAAATTTATAAGCTAATAGGCCATTCAGGTTTTTTTTCACTATGACGAGAGTCAGATTATGTAAATATGAAATTACAAAGAAACTACTTCCGTGGGTTTTTTTTTTTACACGTGCTATCCGTGTAAATACAAAGAACACATATACTGAATCGGTTCATTAGCCGCATGACAAAACATTTTTATATTAGTTTTTTTTTTTTTTTACCCTAGCTGGGCGAGGAATTGTATATGGGACTTTGATTTACAGGCTAAATCTGAAACTTTTTAAATGGTCAAAAAAGAAAAGAAAAATCTCTAATAACACTCCAGGGTTAAAGAAATACTAACTACCCCCCCCCCAATAGCTTAATGATACTGAGGTGCAGGAAAACCACTGTGTTCTACAGACTACCTTACGGTGGCACACAAGTCATTGATCTTGTCATTGACTCATTTCAACCTGGTCTCGTCAGTCGTTACATCCAAATTATATTCACAGCAGTTATAATTTGTATCCCTGATGTTGGCATTTAAGTCCTCCAGTGGATTATTTGTCAAAAGCATTAGAATGCCTTTTTCCCTATTTACATTTTTTGTACAGGAATAGAATTGGATGACACAAAGGCTAAGTGATACCTGGGTATTTGTTGGTAGAAAAGATTAAGCTTTTCCCTTGTGAAAGTTAAATGTCCACTTTACATTTCAGGGCCTGCTGGTTGCCATCTTGTACTGCTTCGTCAATAAAGAGGTGAGACAGATTTGCTTTCATGTCGACTGCCTTCTGAACTTGATCTCCGACATTGCTGCACTTCCTTCCTTTTGCTTTGTAGACAGGCTGCATTTTTCATCATCAGTGTTCCTGCTGCCAGCCTTTATCTGTCCTTTCGTAACTCTAAAAGCTCCATCTTTACTCGAGCTCCACTTCATTCTTTTGTCTGCAAAGAAGGGCGGACGCAACAGCATCCATCTTCTTATATCTGAACTTTTAAGTGCAGTGTTTGGCAGGAGACATCCGTCTAACGAAGTGCTCTGTGTCTTGTCTAATCTTCATCACTCTCCAACTGCCATCTCATCATCTCTCAGGTGCAGTCTGAGATGCTGAAAAAGTGGAAGCGGTGGAAACTGGGTAAGGACATCGACGAGGAGTACCGCCACACCCACAGCCACACGCCGCACGTCAAGAGCGGCAGCATCGCCACCGCAAATCTGCCCGATCTGCACTACAACAACGGCAGCGAGCCCAGCGGTGACTCGCCTCGCCTCAGCAAAGCTGACGGGGGCCCGTCCTGCTCCGCCGCACCCGAGGAGAACCGTCGGCTAGTCGTCTCCTACAGCAACGGGACGGGAAAAAGCAAACCCGCCAAGAGCAAACACACCCTGCAGTTCTCTTTCCAGGCACACCGAGGCACCGCCAGCACCACGACAGAGCATGTGTGCCTGGAAGAGAGGGTGCAGTACCGATCATATCCTCTGGAAGGAGAGGAAACTAATGTGTGACGACAACATTCCCTCGTTGAGAAAGCTCTGATTGTGCTTATCGTTGCTTCAGATCAGTGTTTATCAAGCACCAACAAGACAGCCTGAGTGGGAAGAGAATGAGGAAGTGGCTTACATGGATAACGATGTTCGCTGCTGTCCAACATCGCAGGAAAGGCTGTTTATCCTGCAGAGGCGCAATCTAATATTTACTGGTTTTGGGAAATTGAGGAACAAAAACTTGCTGACTTCAGGCGTCAGGAATGATAAAATAAACTGAAATGACACTCTAGTGGTGTTTAATGTGTGTGTGCATCACATCTTTCCATCCGTCCGGCTGTTTGTGTGACAGTTTGCAGCTGTGGACACTTCTTTGTGGTACACAAGAACGTCTCTGTGTCAAAATAAGTTTTGTATTTTCATTTATGGTTTCATGAAACTGAATGTGGACTGCAGCACGTATGACTCTTGATGTCTTTTTCACGGGGGTCAGCAGAAACAGAATAACTGAGCGATTCGCTGGAGACCACAGAATCTTGACGGAGTTTTCCACTGCAGGAACTAGAGGCAGGAGAGATCGGCCCCTTTTAGTTCCTGTTGCAGTGTAGGATCCTAAAGCTTCGACTGCCGTGTCAACTTAAAGTGTGCAAAAACGACAACAAGTAGAAGTTACTAGATGCAACTGCAATTCTGTGAGCATCTACAAAATGCAGCAGCGGAGGTTTGTTATGTTGGTCGATATGGTAAAGTTGTTAATGCCGATCTTTGAGAGGTGAAGAATGCGACTCGATGAGGACACAGAAAAGGCAAAAAAGGGGCACTTGTTGAGTTTAACCAATCAGTGTGGGAATCTGCATAGCCATTTCTGAGAGTGGCTCAGGAGTACTTTCGATGGACTGCATTCCAGTTACATACTTTGTCTTTTTACTTTGAGTACATACTACAGCTGTCCTTATAGCGTACGTGCTGTTTCATGCAGTGTACGTTGAGTTAAATTACTGCTTAATCATAGTATCGTGCTTCTAACTGTAACCATTGCAGTCTTGTGCAAAATGAGCCGCCATCTGTCTCTGCGCTCATGGAGACTTATACTATTGTTATGATTGTTTATACTTGCGTGAAAGTCGATGGCATATGTGATATAATTACGCAGAGGTTTGTGGGTCAGAATGGACAGACAAGCATAATGGCTTGCATACTGCAAACTCCAGTCAGGCGTACAGGACATCCTAGCTCACTATGTTTGACACTGGGATGTACTAGAGCAGCGGTCTTCAACCTTTTTTGAAGCACGGACCAGTTTTAAGCAATTTTCTACGGACCGGTTATGACAAAAAAATATCGGTTTAACTATCAAGAAGTGTCATAAACAAATACCATTACTTTTTAACAATAATACAAATAAGCCAATGAAACATTTTTATTCTTTCTGTGCGGCCCAGTACCAAATGACTCACGGCCCAGCACCGGTCTGCGGCCCGGTGGTTGGGGACCGCTTGTACTAGAGCTTTGGCAGTATGGATAGGTGGGCACTTTTTCTCTCCCCCCAAAAAACGCCACTTGTACATGAGTGGTCCTTGGGTTGGGAACATGCATGAAGGTTCAAGCCGCCCTAAAACCACCCGCAAGTTCCTGCAGTGGAAAACAGCCTAATGTCTGCCTCAGTGGGGCAGCCTCAAGGACGACGGATGCTGTCATTTTCAGAAAGACTGCGCTATAATGTTTAAATTATTCTGGTTTTATATAACCAAAGCCAAACAAGAAGATAATAATATATCACAGGTTTTATATCAGTTAGGTGAAGCATGATTTTTTTATTTGCCTTTCCTTTCTTTCTTTTTTTTATATCGACATCATCCTTCTGCAATTTTTAGGCACATTTTCTGACTGAATGTACAATGGAAAATTATGGGTGAAAATATTTAAGTGTATATATGTAATTAGAAATACATACTATATCCATAGCACCTGGATTTATCCAAGACTTAATTTAAGTTCTTGATTTGCCTTCATGACTCAGAGTGAAGATCAATACATAACACAGTGGCAGTTAATTGGATGAAAAGCAGTTTGATTTTTAGTGTTTAACTTGAGTGAAAGTTGCTCCAGATCTCTGTCATCGCACTGTTGTAGTTATTGTTCATGTAGTTGCACATTTTTTCAGTCACACAGTATTCAGAAAGAAGATTTATGCACCGAATATACAGCATGCACAGATGAGAAAAGTGGTTTGATTAACAGGATGTGTGACTAATACTTTGTGTTGGGCAGTACACCACATTAACAACGGAGAAACGACTTGTTTAATTTTTTATTTTTTTTTTTCAGATTTTATGATGCAAAGTATATGTTGATGTGCGGACCCCTGTTGTGCTTTAGGAAAGAAGAAATAAACCGGAGCCAGCAACAATATTCACAAAGACACCCGTAACGGACTTTTTTGATCACGGATTGAGAAGGCTTAGTGTATCTGAAGTGTGCGAGAGTGCATTGTAAATAGTGATAAAAGAGAATATTATAAAGACAAAGACAGGTGGGTGAAGGGGCATATTGTTCTGTGTTTTTGCTTTCAGTGCAGGCGGTGAAAAATGAGAATATGACTAATTATTTTGAGAAACGACTTCTGTTTCACGAAACATGATTGTAATGATTCGATCCTGTCTTTCTACTGAGAACGTTGCAGCTGTCAGACGGAGCCTCAAGCAAACAATGTCATTGAGAGAAAGCAAAATGTTTTGTATAAAAGCCAAATTACTATAGCTCATGTGTCTCTGTGGATCCAATTAAAATGAATTCTTTCAAGCAAAGATTGCCTCAGTATATATTATATGTTTTAGAAATAGCTAGCATTCCTTTTGGCTACCATTTGTAGCACACTGACCGGGAGCTAATATGCTGTACATTAATTATGTTTGTAATGTTAAAGTTTAAACAAAAAACAAAACAAAACACTGTACTTGACAAACATTTTCTGGTGCTTTTCTGCAAAAATGTTTTTTAAAAAAAAAAGAAAAGAAAAAGAAAAAAGATAATATTAGGCAAATAAATCATGTAAATTCCTCTGTGTGTGCACATGTATTCACATTACTGTACAGTTATTTATCATGTGCGAAGCCAATCAGCGAACTTACTGTTAACTTAATTCTGTAGTTGAAAGCCCAAGAACAAACCGGAGAAATCTTCAGTTCACAGATGTAGAATTTATTTAGGTCACAGCTAAAGTGATGCTGCGCTGGGCTCTGAGTGACAGGGCTCTATCAGAAAGAGTCCCGATTTCCGGAAATGATTCACATTTGTCTTTTTGGGCTGGGCCTGCCCTGCACAGAGCCGAGGTTAATTGGCAAGTTACCAATGATGCGGACAGGCTAACCACTGTTCACGTGGAACTTCACTGAAATGTAAACAGAAACTGCTTGGATCGAATACAACGTGTGTGTGTGTGTGTCGTCCAAAAGGCGTGTATCTAAAGCAACTGATAGAATAGAGGAGTTTCCACTGTCTCCCAGTATGTGAACTGGCTCTCACCAGCCATGTTATCTGCAAGGACGTGCATTGTGCTCAGTAGAAAAAAGCAAAACAGGATCATAGGTTCAGTGGAGACATACAGATTAGGAATACATGATAGTTCAAAACACAGCTAATTATAACATTACAATCAAACAAGTTTCCACTGGAGATTCCAGCGACATGAAAATATTACGACTCATCCGTGTGCTGTTGTGCAGAAGGTAATAAGATGTCAGCAGATGAATTATGTATTAGGAAGGCGCACGTGTCCAGTAATGTGTGTTCTTGTGAGTAACTGATCTAGAAAATCTCTCTGAAAACATCTCCCTGCCCATGAGTGCATTTACATATAACAGAGAACGGAAACCACTGGAGGCGGCTCATTGGATCGGCTGGATAAAGCCAGTAGAGAATATTAGCTCTGGATGGCTCAGAATGCCTCTCATGGGAATTACCTGACTTTCACTGTATCTAAAGAAAGCTCTGACTACTGAGGTGCGTTGAGATACAATGGAAGCGAAAGGTTTGGACATGTTCATTTACATGGAACATGTAAATCCTTTTGGTTTCTGGCTAAAACCTGCACTTTGTCCAATTCTGTGTCTTAACGTGTTATGATGGATTACAGTTCATGTAGAATTGATTTGAAATAAGATGAAAATGACCGCACTCACTGGCCTACAGTGACCTCTAGCCAATTATTAAATTGAAATTGTTAGTTTGACATTGGACAATATCTTGATGCCTCTTGTCTGCGTTTATGGAGATTCAAGATTTTAATTCCTGAGTCCACGTGCCTTTGTAAAAATGGGAACAAGTTTGTCACACACACAATAAAACTCACACTAATCAATTTAAAACGTCAAAAACTGGCCAAATGTAAATGTAAAGAAGCTTTTTCAGTGTTTTTTTTTTCCCCTTATAATGCAAACAGTCTGCGAAAATGTCATAACCAATAGACCTTTACTGATCCCCAGGAATGTCAGCAGCACAGTAGTCAGCAGACAAATGCACCAGTGTGAATTCATCTGGAACTTCTTAGTTCATTTTCAGTTTCTAGTGGTCATTATCAACAGTTGGATGGGTCTACATCCAATCAGAGCAACGACAAATGTAATGTAGCGCTAAATCAGTACAGTCAGGGCTCAGCCATCGTATCAAACTCACCCAGTATTGGGGGCAACACTGTGTGGAAATCTGTTTAAATGAGAGGTGGGCCAGATGTCTTCTGCCAGAACAAATGAAACATGACGCCTAAATACTGTCTAGTTTACAGGCTAGTAGCACAGAGTTCCGATAACTGAAACTGTGAGGAGTTTGTCATGCAAAAAAAAAGAAGTAAATACAAAAAAGAAGAAAAAAAAAAATCATCCATCAATCCCATCAGACAGCTTATATTATGTAATTAAAAAAAGGTTTGCATATGAGACATTATACTTAATTTATTATGTTATGTGGTACATATAATGTAATAAAATAAATGTAAAGTGGGATTTATATTCTGTCCATAGTGCAGAGTTTTAAAAAACCCACCCAACCCCCACATCTATCCGACCATTTCCAGAATCTTTTGGAAACTGACCCTCCATCGCTCATGCTCACTTAATGGTGTGACTGAGCAGATGTGTAGAGAGCATCCAGGTGTTGCATTTTTTTGGTACACAACTACAACACCACATGATTTGAGGATTTACAGGTTGCATGCCAGTTAGATTGATTCCCACAGTTCCTGGGTTTGTGCTGGGATTTCTTTCATTCACTTCCTCCTCACACTCTTCCCAGGGCACTGTAAACTCTGTGATCGCCTGCTTGGTGGAACCTGCAAAGATGTTCACGTCAGGCTCGTGGAGCCAGGCAGCAGCTGTGACAAGAGTGTTAGATTTGGCTGCCGCTTGGTTAGGGCTTTTCTCGAGCTTTGATGAGGAAGATGGACTTTTGTTAGAAGATTCTGGCCCCCACTTGCTCTGATGTCTTTGGCAATGCTTTAAACAACTGCCTTCAGGAGCTGGTCACAGTGCCACCAGTATCCACCTTTCATTCAGGGCCTTCTCGCAGCTGCTGAGCAGATGTTCCAGTGATCGTCTCCCAGAGCCCAGCTGACAGGAGGAGGTAATGATATACACCTAGACTGTAACAAATTACTGTAAAAATACAGGATAGTTTGCACAGTAATATACCGTCCGTTGTCAACAAGGAGGACTATTTGATGGAGATCACCCACCTGGAGGACCGGTGCAGAGACAACAGCCTCCTCCTGAATGTCAGCAAGACCAAAGATCTGATTGTGGACTACAGCAAGAAGTAGCAGAGGGCATACCACCCACTCAGGATCAGCGGGACAGAGGTGAAGCGAGTGGAGAGCTTGGAGTACCTGGGTGTTAACATCACGCAGGACCTGACGTAGTTCTGTCACTTCAGCACCCTGGTGAAGGAAGTTCGACAGCATCTCTACCACCTCAGACACCTGAAGAACTTTAAGCTCCCTCTCAAGGTGCTAAGTTCTACACCTGCACGACTGAGAGTGTTTTGGCTGGGAGTGTCACCACCTGGATGGGCAGCAGCACCCTGAAACAATGGACTTAATAAACAATCCAACCGGTTACTTTTTACCTTGCATGTATATATATGTACAGTCATCCTCAAATTTAAGCCCTGCGATAGATTGGTTACCTGTCCAGGGTGTCCCCTGGCTTCGCCCTACGTCAGCTGGGATAGACTCCAGCCCCCCCGTGACCCTAGTGAGGATTAAGCGGTGTATAGATAATGCATGGATGGATGGATGGATGGATGGGGTTCCATATTGAGTTCAAGTGATCTTTGCTTACCACACCTACTATATTTATTCTCTGTTAATACATTGCAGGTGCTTCATTGGTATCGACCATGAGAGGGGAACAAAGGCCAGCCAGGTGAAGGTGGTGTTTAAGAAGCCAGGGACGCTGGTCCAGAAAAAGGCAGCATAACAACCACAGCTACTGCCACGTGAAATTACAAGTTATATCTGTTTGTTCATGTGCAAGCCTCATGTAAACCGTAAATTGATATCATTATGCAATCAGTCTGAATGGTGCTACTGAGTTTATATTATCGTCTTACTTTTCACGGCCTCGTCTGGATATAATGTCATACCTCACCTTATGAGCACACATCAAGCAGAAAAGCATTGAAGGTTTAGTTAATTAAATTCAGTAAATCTATACAAATACAACATTTTATTTCTGGCGTTGAATGCAGAAAAGCTGTTCTGACGTCAACATCGTAAGAGACACGAGGCTGCATTAAGAAGCTGCAATTAGGGAAGGCTTGCCAATCCAATTGTAAATCTTGGCTTGTATCTAGTTCATTTAATTGTCATTTGTTTTCATTCACAATTTTGCCAACCAGTGTCTCAGAATTCCTTTTTGCTTTTAGTGGCCAAATCCACCTTCACCTAGAAGTCTTAAGGGCACACAAGTTGTGGTTGGAATCTTTTTGCAGTGATAATGAAAGTTTTAAATTCATTCATACCAGCAGAAACACTGTCAGTACTCATTTTGGCAAGTCAGCTAAATCTATTTTTTAGGCACTGGCTAGCTTACATTTACATATTACTTATTGTAAAATGAAGTCTGTTTTTGCAGAATCTTTGCTATCCCAGTAAAATAAAGAAGCTTCTGTCATCGAAAAAGCAAAAAGCTGTTACTTAGCAATAGTTTAAATAGCAACCAGATTCAAATTTCCTAATGTTTGCATGAAAAAGAACTCGAAATTACAAAACCCGAGCAGAGCTATTACAAAAACAGATTTAAATAGTTGAGTTTGGTCTTTCTCTGCCTGTGCAGGAAGCATCTATTTTGAGGACTGCCATATTATTCTAACCACTGGGACCAACTAATGCCCTGGATGGGTATTCGTGATGTTGCAAGTCTGCAGGGAGGATCATGGAAAAAACATTATACACAGAGGGTCACTGAAAACATATTACTGTAGTCAAAAATCTTCCAAGCATCTTCCCCAAAACTTCCCCTCAGGATCACTCTGCTAAAGCCATCTGTGAGTTGATGCCGCCTGGGGAAACATCTTATAGCACTTATAGCATCATTCTGTACCCCAGACCCACGGCTAAATGGACTGTAGATGTTTAGGACATCATAGTTCGAGTATAATTAAATCTAACACACACACAGCATAAGAGACAGAAAAGCAAGTCAAACCAGGCAATGATAAGTACTTTTTCTGAATTCTGATCGGTTTTAGTTCTATATTGATGATCATCAAATGTACATCTCCAATCCCATCGAAAGAGAGTGAAGCTGTGATT